GGTGGAGGCAGATTCCAATGGAAATTTCAAAAGAAAGCTGGAGATATATTTGACAGTGAAGTAGTTAGAGGGTTTTGGAAATAGGGCTAGAGAGTGGGACTTTCAGTGGAGCTGGTAAAGACACAATGGGGTAAACGGCTTCCTTCTGTACTGTACAAATCAGGATATAATGGTAATATGCAAGAAAGGCACCACAATTTGTTACAGGTAGTGTTAGATCAGAATATCGACTGAACAAACCAACTGGGCATGAATAATGTGGCAGACAAATTTGGATAGTGTGCTGTGTGCTGAGTTAGGTTAAGATTGCATTGGATCCTTTGGGGATAGTGATCGCAACATGGAAAATTTTAAATTCGGTTTTGGGGAGAGCAATGTGGGTTTTAAACTAGTGTTCTCAACTTTAACAGAGGCAATTACAAAGTATGAAGAATGAGCTATCTAAAGCGGGCTGGGGAAATAGACTAATGGGAAAAGAAGTGGCAGACATTTAAGCAGATAATTTAAACTAATATCTTGCATTTGGACTGTGAAGACTAAACACTATAATCACTCTAAACATACCAAATAAGCAGGTGCTAATGGAAGGAAAAGCCTTAGGTTGCCAAGACCTGACAGTCTTCATTCAAGGGTTTCAAAGGAAGAGGTTAAAGAGATAATGGAGGCATTGATTGAAATGTTCCAGAACTCAATACATTCCAAAAGAGCTCCTACAGATTGCATAACTACTAATGTGATACCCCTCTTCCAAGACAGACAATAAAGGGGAATCTCAAACTAAGAAGGCAAGACTCATCTAAAACTGAGATGCAAAGGAATTTCTTTTCTCAAGGGGAGTGAAAGTGCAGAATTTTTACCCCAGAAAGTTGTGGAGACTAGATCACTGATAGTACTTGAAGAGGTAGATACATGTACTTTTAAAATATCAGAGCATTGAGAGCTATGAGGAGTTGAGGCATTGGGAAGATCAGCCATGTTATTGAATGGTGAGGCAGTCTTGGGCTGAAAAGCCTACTTAGTAAACATCTCTGTAAATCAAGCAACATTATATCAATGTCACTAGCTACAAACCTATACCTGACATATAGAAAGATGTTTATGGTTGTTGGAAGTCAGTCATCTCGGCTCCAGGACATCTCTGCAGGAGTTCCTCAGGGTAGTGTCCTAGGCCCAACCATCTTCAGCGGCTTCATCAATGACCTTCCCTCCATCATAAGGTCAGAAGTGGGGACATTGGCTGGTAATTACATCATGTTCAGCACAATCCGCAATTCCTCAGATACTGAAGCAGTCCAAAGTCAAATACAAGAAGATCTGGTCAATATTCAGGCTTGGGGTGACAAAGATTCCGGGTTAATCCAAGACGGAGGACGGGAAAAATTTGTGGCTGCAAGAGCTGCTCCTTTTTTGAGGTATTTTCAGTGTTGAAGCTGATTTCCTGGAATTCTAGGAACGGTAATTATTGTTTTAGAAGCTGTTGCATTGTTTGGGAGCTTTGGGGGAGAAAGATCAAAACAACAGCACTTTAAAAAAGAAGTCAGACAAAGGCAGTGAACACATGGGCAGTGAAATCAAACGAAGAAATAAACCTGCACTTCTGTCTGACCCAGCCGTGAATCTGCATGGCTGATTGTTCTGCTGTTTGACTTGGATAATCCCTGGACATCGGAGTTTGTCGAAGAAAAAATTAACAAACAGCGAAATTCACAGCTGACCTTGGAGAAACCTGTGTGGGAGAGCTCACAGCAGAGGAGCTGCTTAGTGGCTTTTTAAAGAGCAACTTTTTTTGTAAATCTACAATAGTGAGTAGAGTGGGTTCTTTTTTGATTGTATGTTTTATTGAGATTTGTCTCAATTAAACTTTAAAAATATAAAGCATAGGTACTATGTTAGCTTGAAGCAGTGTTTTTTAGAGCAGCAAGACTGCTATTTTCAGGGTCTGTAGATTGTTAAGGTGCAAAGATAGCCTTCAACAGAGTAACGTGGCCTTCCGATCAGATGTGGGAGATTAGGGACAGTTTCCATGTTACTGATGATTACGTCTGCAGGAAGAGTATTATGGTGAAGGAGAAGGCTGGTAGGTGTCGGGAATGCTGGATGACTAGAGAAATTGAGGTTTTGGTCAAGAAAAAGAAGGAAGCATGTGTCAGGTATAAAGAGCAGGGATCAAGTGAATCCCTAGAAAAGTATAAAGGCAATAGGAGCATACTTGAGGGAAATCAAGAAGGCAAATACGGTTAAGGAGAATCAAAAGGGATTCTATAAATAAATCAAGGACAAAAGGGTAACTAGGGAGAGAATACGGCCCCTTAAAGGTCAGCAAGGCCACCTACGTGTGGAACTGCAGGAGCTAGGGGAGATACTAAATGAATATTTTGCATGCGTTTACTGTGGAGAAATAAATAGTGAAATCTTAAAATGTCCACATTACAGAGGTGGTGGTGCTGGACGTCTTAATATGCATAAAAGTGATAAATCCCCAGGACCTGATCAGGTGTACGCTAGAACTCTGTGGGAAGCTAGGGAAGTAATTGCTGGGCCCCTTGCTGAGATATTTGTATCATTGATAGTCACGGGTGAAGTGCCAGAAGACTGGAGGTTGGCTAACAAGAAAATTAGTAAGGAAAAGCCAGGGGACTATAGACCGGTGGGCCTGAAATTGGTGGTGGGCAAGTTGTTAGAGGGAATCCTGAGGGACAGGACTTACATGTATTTGGAAAGGTAAGGACCGATTAGGGATAGTCAACAAAGCTTTGTGTGTGGGAAATCGTATCTTGCTAATTGAGTCTTTTGAAGAAGTAACAAAGAGGATTGATAATGGCAGAGCAGTGGGTGTGATTTACATGGACTTTCGTAAGGCATTCGAAAAGACTCCTCATGGCAGACTGATTAGCAAGGTTAGATCACATGCATACAGGGACAACTAGCCATTTGGATACAGACTGGCTTGAAGGTGGAAAACAGAGGGTGGTGGTGGAGGATTGTTTTTCAGGCTGGAGGGAGGTGTCGTGGATAGCAAAGAAGGTTATCTCAGAATACAACAGGGTCTTGATCAGATGGGCCATTCGGCCAAGTAGTGGCAGGTAGAATTTAATTTAGATAAATGTGAGGTGCTGCATTTGAGAGGCAAATGAGGGCAGGACTTATATACTGAATGCAAAGGTCCTGGGGAGTGTTGCTGAACAAAGAGACTTTGGAGTGCAGGTTGATAGTTCCTTATGAAGGGTCTAGGCCCGAAACGTCAGCCTCTCTGCTCCTATGATGCCGCTTGGCCTGCTGTGTTCATCCAGCCCTGCACCTTGTTGTCTCTGTAGTAAAGGTGTTTGGTATGCTTGCCTTTATTGGTCAGTGCATTGAGTATAGGAATTGGGAGGTAATGTTGTAGCATTGTAGGTTAGGCCACTTTTGGAACTCCACATTCAGTTCTGGTCTCCATGCTACAGGAAGGATGTTGTGAAACTTGAAAAGGTTCAGAAAAGATTCACAAGAATGTTCCCAGGGTTAGAGGGTTTGAGCTATAGGGAGAGGCTGAATATGCTGGGGCTATTTTCCCTGGAGCATCAGAGGCTGAGGGGTGACCATATAGAGGTTTATAAAATTATGAGGGGCATGGTTAGGATAAATAGACAAGGTCTTTTCCCTGGGGTGGGAAGAATCCAAAACTAGATAGCATAGGTTTTAGGTGAGAGGGGAAAGATCGAAAAGAGACCTAAGGGGCAACATTTTCATGCAGAGGATGGTGCTTGTATGGAAATGAGCTAGTAGAGGAAGAGGAGGAGGAGGAGGAGGAGGCGGCCAGTACACTTACAACATTTAAAAGACACCTAGACTGGTATCTGAATAGGAAGGGTTTGGTGGGATATGGGCCAAATGCTAGCAAATGAGGCTAGATTTGTTTAGGATATCCGGTCAGCATGGACAAGTTGGACTGAAGGGTCTGTTTCCATGCTGTATATTTCCATGACTCTAAGTGGTAAGTAACATTCGTGCCACACAAATGCCAGGCTATGAACATCCCCAATAAGAGACAATCTAATCACTGCCCTTTGACATTCAATTGTGTTACAAATGCTGAATCCCCCACTATCAACATCCTGGGGTTACCATTGATTAGAAACTCAGTTAGCCTCACCACATAAACAAAGTGGTTACAAGACCAAGCCAGAGATTAGGAGTACCACAGTAAGTTACTCATCTCCTGACTCCCTAAAGCCTGCCCACCATCTACAAGGCACAGTCAGGAGTGTGATGGAATGTTTCCACTTATCTGGATGGGTGCAGCTCTAACAACACTCAGGAAACTTGACACCATCCAGGACAAAGCAGCCTGCTTGACTGGCATCAAATCCACAGGCATCCACTCCCTCCAGCACAGACACACAATAATAAGTGTACACTATCTACAGTTGCATTGCAGGAATTGAAAGATCCTTAGACAGTGCCTTCCAAACCCTCGACTACTTCCATCTGGAAGGACAAGGGCAGCTGATACGCAAGAACACCGCCCCCTGCAAGTTTCCCTCCAAGCCATTCACCATCCTGACTTAGAAACATATCACCCTCGCTTCACTGTCACTGGGTCAAAATCCAGGAATTAGTTCCCTGAGGGCATTGTGGGTTAACCTACAGCACATGGACAGCAGCGGTTCAACAAGGCAGCGCATCACATCCTTCTCAAAGGCAACTAGAGACAGGCAATAAATGTCGGTCCAGCCAACGGCCCCAACGTCCCACGTGATAGTTTAAAAAAAAACTCAATTCTTTGAGTAAAATGAACCTCTGCCAGTCACCGCCGTTCCACAGTTTGTGGTTATCGACATCAGAAAGTCGGGCACAGATCAGACAAAACAGGCCAGGCCTTTAAATTATATCCAGCGATTCCGCCCCCATTCCCCAACCCGGACCCCGGACCCTCTTCCTGAGCACGGAAGGACAAACAGCCGGTCCACGGCTGCTGCTGTCATGGGAGCGATGCCTCAAGTTCAGGGTAACACACTAACCTCCAGGTCGGAATCCTCAGCGTCTGAAGCAGATTGTGGATCCCAAGCCATGCCGCCGCTGCCTCGCTGGTCGGATCTGAGCGGAAGCTGTCTCTCAGCGCACACGGAACACCCGTCCGGCCAGAATGTGAAACCGTGCACAGAGTTCCGGAAATAAAGACCAACTTCCTCACAAACCGCCGGGACATCAGTTAATTTATTTATCCGGACGGTTCGAAGTGTAGCGCAGGAGTTTTCAAAAGTAGCGTGTAGATTCAAAGTACTGTTGTAGATATTAGAAGATCAGTTGGCTGGATTCTGGTTTGCAGCATGGAGTTCAATTCCCGCACCAGCTTATGGTTGCTTTGGACTCTCCTCCTCAACCTCTGTCTTCGTCTAAGGTGTCGTGATCCTCAGGTTAAGTCACCAACAGTCGTTTCTCTCTAGTGAGAGAGCAGCCTAACGTAAAAGTGACTTTATGGGTAGATGCTGGGAATATGAAATGAAAATAAATCAAGTCAGACAATTTCCTCATCTGGGAAAAATTTACAGGATGTAACAATTTTCTTTTGGTGTGATTGAATGGGGGAAGAAAAAGATTTACGGCAGCACAGTGGACTGGAAGTGTTTTTCAGATCGGGCCTCAGCATATTGGCACGCCACTAGCACCATGCTGACCTAAAAAAGACCTCCAATGATAAAACAGTGGAAACAGCAGGCAGCATACAACACTGAACAATCCTACAATCGGTGTATCAGACCTAAGCTCTGGGGTCCTGCCACATTAAGTGGTGGTAGACAATAAACAATTAACAGGGGTTGGAAGCTCTTACCTCCCCCCGCCATCCTAAATGATGGGGGAGCTGAGAACCTCAGTGCCAAAGATAAGGTAAAAACATCTGCATCCATCTTCAGCCACAAATGTTGGGGCCAATCCATCTCAGCTCTTTACTAATATCCCAGATCACAGATACTAGTCTTCAGCCAGAGATTCACTTCATGTGATGCCATGTGAAACTGCTGAAGGCACTGGATATTGCAAAGGCTATGGTCCCTTACAGTATACCAGTAATAGTACTGAAAACTAGTGCTCCAGAATTAAAAATTGGTCCATGCCAAGCTGTTCAAATATAGCTACAACACTGGTATTTCCCCAAAAAAGTAGAAATTTACTCTATTATGCCCTGTGCACAAAAGGCAGGGAAGATTCAACCTGGCCAGTTACGGTCCCATCAATCTATTCTTGATCATTAGCAAAGGGGTGGAATGGGTTCTTGTCGATGATATTAAGTGCCACATGTTCAGTAATAAAATGCTGATTGAATTGAGCTTTGCCGGGGTCATTCAGTTCCTGATCTCATTGGATCCCCCTTGGTCCCAGCATGCAGATAAGAGCTGAACTTGAGGGGAGGTGAGGGTGACTGCTCTTGAAATCAAGACAGCATTATATCAAGTATCAAGAAGTGCTAGTAAACATAGCAAATGGGAATGATTGGGAAAACTTAGATGAAGGGAAAACTCTCGGCTGAGTGGTGTCATACCTAGCATAAAGGAAGTGTTTGTGATAGTCAAGATCAATTATCTCAGTTACAAGACATTTCTGTAGGAGTTCCTCAGGGTTGTGTTCTTGGCCCAAGCATTGTTAGCTGCTTCAACAATGACCTTCTGTTAGTGGCAAGTAACATTTACGCCACACAAGTACTAGCCAATGACCATCTCCAACAGGAGGGAATCCATTTATCCTTGTTATTCAATGGCATTATTATCACTGAATTCCCTTTTATCAACAGCCAAGAAGTTACATTGACCAGAAATTGAACTGGTCTAGCCATTTAAACACTGTGGTTACAAGACCGGGTCAGAGGCTGGGAATCCGAAAGGGAGTGACTCACCTGCTGTCTATGCAAAGCGTGTTCACCAACTACAACGTACAAGCCAAGAGCATGATTGAATACTGCCCACTTATCTGGATGAGTGTAGTTTCACAACAGTCAATAAGCTCAATATCATCCAGGATAAAGTTGTCCACTTGATAGGCACTCCATCCACTATCTTCAACATTCTCTCTGTCCACCACAAATGCACATCTTCCAGACATGAGGCCTATATCACATAGAAGCTCAAGTGATAAAAGCGCATCAGAACACCACTTCCTGCAAGTACTTCCAACCTGACTTTGAATTATATCACTGTTCCTTAACTGTTGTTGATCAAAATTGTGGAACTTCATCTCTAACAGTGCTGTGAATGTATCTAGCCCTCATGAGCTGCAGAAGTTTAAGAAGGCAACTAACCACCACCTTCTCAAGTGCAATTAATAATGGGAAATAAATGCTGCCTTAGTTAACAATGCCCATATCCTGTGAATCAGTTAAATAAACTCATATCCCATCTGCCTGCTCAGTTGGGTGTAAAAGATCCCATGACATTATTTCGAAGAAGAGATGGTGAGTAATGCCTGGTGTCCAGATGAATATTATTCCATACTCTGTGTTCAAAATAAAGATTACCTTGTATTATAAGATTGTTAAGCACATCATAAATGCTAGCAGAATATGGATGTTTGTCTGTGGTACTGAAACAACTAAACTAGAAGCAGAAGACAAATAAAGCATTTATTGTTGCAATTTGGAAAATATTTAGACAAATAAGTAAGCTAGTTACTGCATTGTGATATCTATGTAAACATCAGAGAAAGATTTAGTCTCCAAGAGTTGTATTTGCTGCTGAGCATCTGGATTGTTAGATGGTGGAGCAGGAGCAGAAGGCAAAACATGGTTGCATTTCTGACCATTGAAGAAAAGTGGAAGATAATATGGCAATTGTGGTTACTGACAAACAACTGGAACAGCACACAAGCCTCAGAGTTTGCTAATATTTTTCTGTGTTGCTCATAGTGGTGTCTGGGAGATTGATCTTTCATCCCTGGTGATTGCCAATCGGGAAGATTGGCAACTCTAACTATAAATCTATGTAAAGTCGATCACTGTGCCTGAACAAGAGCTTTTTGATAACAGTCTGAAAATTGCTTTTTAGAATTTTGATTTTATATCTCCTATTTCTACCCCTACTATTTAGATTAGTATTTGAGGATAAACTTTTTCTCTTTCCTGAATATTATCTTCCAGTCCTCCTTTTCATGAAAAAATATTCAAGTTCCTGCTGAGCTTCCTCATCATTGAAGTTACTGACCCCATGGGTCAGCCTCATGCCTCTGCTATGCACAGTGCTTGAATATTTCTCCTGGTGTTTGGTGATTGCTGTTGTGTGGGCCCCTTGGAATCTTACCTTCACCTTTGGCTATTTCAGCAATTTTCATGGCATCGACTCACCAACTAATTTTATCCTCTTTATTGCATTAAACTTCTGTGAATGTCCTGTCCACTTACGTACCTTGTCCGTTCATCCATAGAAATGAAACTGGGCATCTCAAGCGTATTCAATATATGGGAAGAAACACATTGCAAATTTCAGATTGCCACCATCACAAGTGGAATTTAGATTGTTGATGGTTACTGTCAAGACTGGGAGATGAATAATAAGAACATGGGTGAGGTTGGGGGTAGGTGTCTTGTATCTGTGAAACATTTGCAGTCAGCACAAGGGAAGGAAATTGATGACAAAACAAGTGTAAAGGGTGGGAAATGCGAGATGATATGTTGAAACTGGAGGCAAATTCAAATTGCAGAGAAATGACCTAGTAATCTATATGGAGGAAGAAAAAGAAGAAATGGAAAACAACAACGAACCAGAGATAGGAATTTGAAATTAATTTAGAAAATCAGCCTTTATTATTCAAATGAAAAAAAATCAGGACATGTGAAAGAGAAAACAAAGAACTCATATAGGAGAAAAAAAGCAATGGAGACAACAACTACAATTTTGAATTATAGTGACATGATATTGCATCAAGAAAACATTCTTGGAAAGATCAGTTTTGTGTTATCGTCTAAAAATTAGTGGTAAATAGTGTTTGCTTAATCTTTGCAACATAATATACCTCCTGTAAGAGACTGCAGTTTTGCTTTTGGATAAACTGAAAATAAATAAAAACATTGACACTTATGTTTATAAGGAAGAAGGAGTTGTTTGCAGTTTTAAAAAGCAAGTAAAACTAAAACATGAATAGAGAGTGCTGAAACAAATTAATTTAATTGGTGCATATCAAACAATGTTACTTTTTGGGAACATTTTGTCCAGACAAATTGGCAGCATTTGATATGGGTTCAGGAAAACTCAGTTTAACAGCAAACCTCTGCTTATTCAGGTTACAGTTTACCATGGAGCCTGGGAGGGGTAAGAAACAGTGAAGCCAACAGACCTTTAGATGGTAGCTGCATCAATATTTCTCACTTGCCTTTTCCCATAAATTTGCTGTCCAATTTTTGAGTTGAAGAAATAGAAAAACTACATTTGGAAAAATTGAAATATATAATCTTAAAACCTTAAGACAACCTGAAACTAACAACTGATGAACTGATGATTGATCATAGTTATTCAGAATACATTGAGGCATCATCGAAAATTTGAAAGGATTGTGAAACCAACTCATTAAGGTTTGGCATCTAACAGTGCACAATAATTTTCATGTAGCATTCATTTAAATACATCGTGAATGAAACTGGTTTTGGGCAGTGGTGACTATGTTGGAAATTAGTTCAGACTCTTCCTGATTGTTTTTCCATTGAAGTTGGGACAAGATGCAAAGCCACTGTTCACTGCTGTCGAAAGCTAATTGCACTTTTATTTTGCTCAATCATTTTTCCTTCATAATGTAACAATACAATGACAGGAGTAGTCCTGCTGAAAGTTGAGAATTCAAATTTCACCATACACATTGTGAAACTAAACTGATAATATGTAAACTGTTAGATTGTTGTTAAAAACCTGACCAGTTCATTAATGTTCTCCAGGGTAGAGGAACTAACAAATGTACAGAGCCTGGCCCAAATACCACTTTGATCTCGCAATATGTGGTTGATATTTGATGTGAATGGCAAATGGAATGGAAATGCATGGTAAAATAGGACTGAGTCAGCACTGCTTTTCTGTCAGAATTCTTTGAGGGGGTAACGAGTGTTAGACGAAGGAGAGCCAGTGTATGTGATTACTTTGAATTTCCAGAAGGCCTTTGATAAGGTGCCATTCAGGAGGCTGCTAAATAAGAGCCCATGGTGTTAGGGGCAAGGTACTGGCTTGGATGGAGGATTGGCTGATTGGCACAAGGCAGAATGTTTGCATAAAGTGGTCTTTCTCATAATGACAGCTGGTGACTAGTGAAGTTCTGCAGGGGTCA